CATGTGCGTAAGGTATCGATACTATTTAGCAGCTATTATTGTAATTCTTTTAAATTCCTACAGTATCGATACTTTGGTACACATACTTATAAAAGTATCGATTATGTCAACAATTCCGGTAGCTCTTTACCGATTTTGTCAAATTAAAACCGATTTTGTCAACATACCAACCAATTTTGTCAAATTTGTTACCTCCTTTGTCAATTTGAAACCAGATTTGTCAAATTTCAACCTGTTATATTGTCGTGCATCGATACATGTGTAAGGTATCGATATTTTATAGGCGCTTTTGTTGCAATTCTTTTAAATTAGTAAAGTACCGATACTTTTATACATATATTTATAAATGTATCGATACATGTCTACTTTTAACCAGTTTTCTTCACTTTCGTATATGTTACTATATATATCAATACTTCTGTGCAAGATATCGATACCTACCGATAAGCAAAGTTTCTCGATTGCCAAATTTTTTAATATTTTTTCATGTTTTTCACCTACGACATTATTATTAATCAATATTTCTGGTAGTGCTTAACCGACTTTATCAAATATATTCTGAAATTTTAGGTCACGCCGTGTGTAGAATTTTCTTTTTGTCGCTGGCTTTTTCTTTATTAATTTTCTACATTTAAAAAAAATTGGAGATTGGGCCTTTAGACATTCTTTGGATTAATATATTCTATTTCAATGTTCACAATATTCCAATAACACTTGCGATATTTTATATGCGATTCTTTCTTTAAAGAAGTTACCTGTTTAATTTCAATGAAGTTTTTAGCTATACGGAATCGAATATCATTGTCAAATTGTACATTGCTTAAACAATTTTTTTGGGTTAAAAATTTGAAGGTAAAGTACATAAATGATCCTGACTGTGGAAATTTGTTTGTTAAGTTCTCTAACTATTAAAAATTATGAAATAGTTCATTGACTATAAGATATTATTTTGTTGAATTCCTCGACTATCAAAAGTTATAAAATGATCACTCAACTATTCATATATTCCAAACTCATTTTTTCTATTAAAAAATTGACGAACTTTTGAGTTGAATGTGAACTTGATGACCAAAGATATGATAAAATATAATCTCAAAATTTCAAATGACTATCAAAATTGTACTAAACATGTAATTTATCCTATTTTTAAAGTAATATGGTATATAGTTTATGTACTAAACATATAATTTATCCTATTTTTAAAGTAATATGGTATATAGTTTTTTATAATATAAGATAAATATAAATTAGTATCTATTAAAAATAATTCTAAATCTTTTGACAATAAATGCTCATATCTCTTGTATCTATGGTATTAAGAGAATTGTCAAAATTTGAACAAACGCATATAACATAAACGCGGTACTCTTTATTTAAAAATATTAGTGTGTGGGTACAATAAAATAATTTTAAGAAAGTAAAATTATTAGGATAATAATTAAATTATGTTAAAACTATAAGGGATTTCAGTTTTTTCTTAAATAAGTTTAATCGGTAAATTAGGTTGGAAATGATATTTTGAGATATTTTCAATGGGTAAAGATAAGATTTGAATCATAAAATTATGGTTTTATATTTTATTTTATAAGACCTTTACAATAATATATCATATGCTCAAAATAATTGAGTAATAAATAAAATATTCATGTTCAAAGTAAACTACTTGTGAATTGGATTGAGAATACCAAGTGTTTATATATATATATATATATAATTCTCATTCTTATTTGGTAAAATAAGGACCTCATTAGAAATATATAAAAATAAATGTCATTGCACTTGTCTCTAAATATATAAGAGAATTATAATATTATCTCAGATCGGATAAGAGATTTTTACAATAAACCCGAAGTCAACCTAATTCAAATTTATCTTTTAATAAAATTGACTTGATTTTAATCTGATATTAAAAAACAATTTTATAAAATGAAATCGATATTTATCGAAATCGGATCTTATCCCTAAGCCTATATGAGAAGATAAAAGAACAACACAAATTATCTAGTAAAATCAATCGAATAGGGTGTTGGAAAAAATTGACTCGTATAGAATGGTGGGAGAACTATTTTCTGAGATGGGTGATTATTACAATGTCCAGAGGAAGAAGTCCAACCACATTCTAGGGACTATTTTTTTCCAACACCCCATTTGATGGATTTAGTCAAGTTATCTGCACTCTGAAAATACATACCAATGAAGATCTCAAAGTACATGGTGCCCATGAGATAAAACTACAATTGTATTTCTTCTTGGAGTCTCACAAGGAACAAACTCAGAGCAAAGAAAAAGTTGACATTTTAGATCAATCAAGGAGTCCCAACTGCCACTATTCTGTAAGGCCACAATTTTACCTAAAAATTACCATAACAGTTAAATATTATATGTCAGACACCATTTCTCCAAATATTACCAATCTATTACCCTTTCTGACATAGCGCATATCATAAGACGTGCCTTCTCATGGTTTTTTCCGAGCTACCACCACAGTGGAAAAGCGCATATCATAATTCGCGTCTTCGAGGGGTTCTATCCGAGCTGACATCATGGTGGTAAAGCGCGGATCATGAAACTCGTATTTGCTTTAAATCCCAACCGCCCCGCCTTAAATACCGATGAATCCCCTGTCCCCTCCCCTATAAATACCCCCTCATCCAACACTCATACCACACAAAAAAAACTCTATTTCTTTTTTCTATATATCGTTCTATCAAGTTTTAAGTAAGTATAGTTATCGTTTTTAGAAGATAACTTTTTATTATATTATAATCATTTAATATTTTATTATTTTATTATATTTTATTGTACTAATTTTTATTACTTTTTGCAATTACAAAATAGCAGGCGGGTTGCTACGTTTAGATGAGATCATATATCGAGTCATTTTGTCGATACGGTAATAATTATAAATTATGTTATTTTATTTATTGGGAATGTTTTATTCATTTATTTTTTAGTATTAATTTATATTTTAATTTGTATACTATTTATTTAATTAGGTGAATGATTGTATATTAGATCCATTTATTCGTAACACTAAATTAGAGATATCGAGTCGTGTCTGGTCGTATTTAGCTGATGTTGGATTCGGTTACATAGCGAAATATTAAGGGCACTGTAACCTTGAATCCAACCTTATTTCTGCATTGATTAATAGGTGGAGACTAGAGACACACACATTCCATCTTTCGTATAGGGAGTGCACTATTACGCTGGAGGATGTTTCCTTACATTTGAGGCTTCTAGTAAATGGGGATGTTATTTTTGGTGTGGCGGATGATCATTGGCATTCCTTGTGCGAGCAGTATCTTGGAGGTATCTCGCCTAATTTCAACGGTGGTCGAATATTGTTATCATAGGTGGATAAAAAAATTTGACGGTTGAGCTACGACTGTTCCGAGGAACAGGTTCAAATATTTGACTGGGCTTGCATATTGCAACTCATAGGAGGGATCTTGATGTCCAATAAATCTCGCAACCAAGTTCATTGTATGTGGCTGAGTCATCTTGCATATTTTCGAGTTGTCGGATCATTCAGTTGGGGCTCTGCGTGTAATACCCAAATTTTGTCTAGTGACCAAAATGTAAATTTTGAAAGTTAATGACCAAAGTATAAACTTTGGAAAAGTTTAGGGACCAAAGTATAGTTTTAAAAAGTTATGCAATCCGATCCCGTAAATGAATAGTTCACCCCCCAAGAATGACGTTTCCTTAGGATTCATATTTTTTGTACGGATTTTGTATTAAAAGCTATAAAGCGATAAAATTATGGAAAATTTTGGGTAATTGGATCAAATCGAATTTTTAGGAAATTTTGAAGGATGATAAATTAATCTTAGAAATATTATTTCCATATTTTAAAATGGTGGAAAATAATATGGAGCATTGAATTTGAGAATTTATTTTATGTTCAATTTGAATCGTTGGATGAAAAATGGCGAGATTGAAATTTTTGGAAAATAGCAAGGGCAAAGTTATAAAGGGCAAAATATTTTGTCCATCTTTGACTTTGGAATATGATAAGGTTTATGTGGCTTGGTATTAAGGTAAATATCATGTTTAATTAAGGGTAAATTAGTAAAGATATTTCAATTTTAAAAGTAAATTGGTAATTTAGCATTTAATGAATTTTTAAATCATTATTTAATAAAGAAAGATGAAGAATTTTCAAGAGAAATGGTTCATCTTTCTCAAGTTGGTTGTGAACCCCATGAAAAGGTTAGAAAGAATTTTATTTTTCTTTTTTAGCAAATTCCTTAGGTTTTTGGATTGAAGTGTGAAATAGAGAATTAATCTACATGAAATTCTTTATCATTTGGTACCATGTGTTCATGTTTTCCATGCTTGAAAACCTAAGTTCATGAAGTAGATGGATGAAGGGGATGTTGGATCTTAATGAATTAAAGCTTGATTATGATGTTGTGGATGATGTAGAATCATTGGGGATGTTGGATCTTAATGAATTAAAGCTTGATTATGATGTTGTGGATGATGTAGAATCATTTTCCAAGCATGAAAGTTGATTGAAAACTATTAGAAATGGTATATGTGTGATTCGGTCAAACTAAGGTTTTGGGAGAATTGTTTGTTTGATTTGTTTTTTGTATGGAATTGATAGTAGATGATTATAAATAATGTTTGAAGGTTGAATCCATGTTTGAATCAAGTTGGAAAACAAGCCTAGAGTGTGATGGTTGAATTTGAATGGATTAGGAAATAAGGGAATAAATTTGTAATTATACAAATGTGAAGGTATTGAATTGAATATATATATATACAATGATGGAATGTTTGATATTGATTTGAATAAATTAAAAATGATTAAGGATTAAGATGCAAGTTGTAAGAATCGATGAAGAAACTAAGGATGCAAAATAATGAAAACAATTTAGATTTTTGAATTTGGCAGTGAGTTTGAAAAATCACAATAAATTATATAAAAATTATTCGGAGTATATTTTTTTGTTTTTATATCAATATAGTTTTGTTTAAAACAAACCGAGATTGATTTTGAATTGTATAATGAAAGATATGAATTTTTTATTGATGATGGGTTAGAAAACAGGGCTACAAATTCTGCTCAAAACATATTGTGGAAATTGGATTAGAAAATTCACTATAAATTGTACAAGTTGAATTAGAATGAGTAATTTATATGGTTAAATTCATATTCGAGTCTAGTTTTCAATGTAAGAAATGGAATTAAATTAAAGTGTGTATATCAATACAAAATAATGATTCTTTAAAGGTATTGTGAGTTGTCTGAATATGGAAATTTTAGAATTGAAGTGGAAATGGATTAGAAGATGAACAATAATGTTTAAATATTTGATTAGAATGTTTGAGTATATTTTTGGATGCTTGGAATTGAAGTTAAATGGAAAGATACCATTTTGAATAAATTGGAAATTTTAAGAAGAATTCTAAAAGAATTCATTTTAATGGTTAGATGGTGGAATTTGAAAGACTAAATTGAGTTATGAGTTGACATGAATGTTAAGAGGATTGAAGTTATATTTTAAGTATTATGGTTAGAATAGACGTGTTGAAATGGGTTTAATATCAAATAAGTATCGATAGAATTTTTTTGAATTACTAGATTGTGCTCATGTTAGTAAAATACTAATATATGCTATGGAATGTATGTGATGTATAAATGACAACGTGAAGATCGAGATCAAAGAAAGCTTAAAGGTAAAGAAAAAGTTCAAGAGTAAAGCTAGGAACGCTAAGTAAGATTACTAGTGAGGCAATACCAGGTGAGTACAGTTTATTTATTTATTTAATTATTTTGATCGATGACGAGTAGAGGATAAGTCAACCTCACCTTGTTTATTTTAAAGATATGAATTATGTTTTGATTACTGAATTATATCTGTAATATTTTAATAAGTTTAATAAATGATTTTGGGTATGAACTACCCATGTCATGTTTTACGAATGTGAATTAAATATATTTCTGATTCTAATATGATTTTTTTAAATGATTACGAAATGAACTGAAAGCCCACTGTATGTTATATTGAGAGTCAAATATACAATTGGCATGCCATGAGGTGGAGTGATTATCTGTTCCAATTCTGATATATTGTGGTGTATCAGAGTGTACACTAGTATGTATATTCTGATATGAATACACTTTGTGTGCATATTATTATTTCCGATGTGATAGCAAAGTGTGTGCTTATCTGTTCCGACTCTGATGATCTGATATATGTATTGCGTACACTCGTCTGACTCACGTACCTTATATTCTCTTAAAATATACTTTGGACTATAAAATGAAATATAAAAGTTCTGAAAAATGTTCGACTATAAAGCAATGTTGGCTGATTATTCTGTTTGATCTGACTTATTATGATTTTGTGAAAATCATCAGATGATTCTTTTCAAGTTTCTGATAAATGAACAACTTGAGATATCTGGTTTGAATATTCTGAAAGTTCTATCTGTTTTATTTTAAATAATTTCTTATTTTTCAATATTTTATTTATTTGTTTTCACCTTGAATATTACTGTCTCACAAAGTTATACTTAGGGCATGATGAATTTCATGCATAGGGTCTAATTGAGATACATACGTTTTGTGAGCCTCCCAAGCATCATGTGCAGATCGTATATAACAATATCAGTAAGACATCGTTGATGTTTCTTTTGACTAGTAGTGGCATGTATATTTATGTTATTAGTTTGTTTTATCAGTTTTGACTAAATGGTCAGTAATAGTAAATTAGGGCTATTTGATTTGACTAGTTTTATTTATCAATATTTGATATGCTTAAATTATATATATATTTTAAAATGGTACAGAAGTTCAAGTAGATATAAATAGATTTAAAAGTTAAAAATATGAATGTTTTAAAAGAAACTAAATTTTAAGCAAATGTGAATAGTGGATATTAGTCAGTTTGAGGTGACATCTATGACTCGTATTCTTAGATGTTTACGGGCCTGTGGTTTTGGCATCTCTGTATAGAGAAATGTGTTGAGTAACTGATTATAAAAAAATGCTATCGGCATATATTTCATTCTTCTGCAATCATGGGTGTGGTATAGCATGCCTTTTTTATGTCCAGTCGTGAAAAACCCGTTAGTCTTCTCATTATTGTTGAGGTAATTTCAATATTGTTTTTTATATAAATATTTTTTTGAGTATATAATGATTTTTTTACACTAAATAGGTGATCATCTATAAGGAAAGATCTCCATGATATACTAGACGAATTGGAATAAATTCGTCTGTTCATCGATCAAAAGGCTGGTACAGAGGTATGTTTTTAAATTTTATTATTTACCTTTTGTTATCTTTATATAATTAGAATATTATTTTGATAAGAATTATATATATTTGTTTTAGTTTCAATGGGCTCTTTATTCTACTAAAGAAATGAGGCGTTGCATCCCACCTCACTTGAGTGACCCATTAGATGCATGGATGGCGGTGGTCCCTCTGATACGTTATGCTATTATCGAGTGATATCCTATTGATTGTGTGCTCCGCCAATTAGGTTTCATACAATCTATTCCTGAAGCACCTAGGAATCTTGACAATATGCATAAAATCGATATACATGTAAAAAAGAAGTCAATTAGCTGATGAAACACAACGAGTGGGTAATGATCTGGGAGGATCGACGTGGATGCATTCCCCGTAGGGAGCTGATTTATGTGAATCATTATTTAGTTTAGATGACTATTATCAATGGTTCAATATGAATTGGAAGTTGTTCTTACTTTTCAAGGAAGCACGAGGCATGAGCATTCATTGGCATCGAGAAAAACGTCTACCGTCACAACATCATTGTCCCCCAACTCATGGACGGAGAGAAGGTACTTCCATATCGTCTTCAGCTGCAGTACTTGAACCATCACAACATCCACCAGTTTATATTCCGCAACTATTTCATATGCCACCACAACCATTTCAGATGACACCACAACCATTTCAGATGACACCGTAGCCCTTTCCGATGCCACCACAACCATTTCAGATGCCACCACCGTAGGGTTTTATGACACCTTATGGCGATATACTCCCATGCTTATAGATCCAACATGGTCTTCATATACTATTTATTTGGTGGGTGATATTTCACCAGAGACAGAGACCTCCGACTCAATTTTCGCATTCATCGATGTTGATGCTTTTGTAGTTTTATAGTTTTCTATGAGCGATGTGAGTTAGTCATACACCTCCAGAGTATTTATTATATGGTGTTACATTCTCATATGTCCCTCGTAAAAAAATGTAGTTCCTACTGTTGATGATGATGATGATGAGAGTGAGGAGGAAGAACAATTTATACGAAGAAATCATCATCGAAATAGACAACCACCGCCCTGCGAAACATATTCAAGACACAGACATCAATAGACTTGTTTTTATTTATTTTGTTTCTTATTGTTTTTATTATTTATGCACTCTTTATTTATTTTGTGTCTTAATGTTTTTATTTAATTATGGACTTTTTTATTTATTTTGTTTCTTAATGTTTTTATTTAGTTATGAACTTTCTATTTTTTTGTTTCTTAATGTTTTATTATTATATAGCTTTTTTTACTCATTTTGTTTCTTAATGTTTTATTATTTAATTGTTTAAATCGTAACGTTTGTATTTAATGTTTTCATTTAATTGTTTTAATTGTTTTTATTATTTAGTTTGTAATATTTTTATTTAATTTTCACTTGAGTAACCCATCACTTGAGTAGCACATTAATTACAAGTAAACGAAAATGAAATAGCACAAACGAGGCTTCATAAACAATTACATCGTCACAGCATCAACGGTTTACGTGATGATAAAATAGATGAACATTTTTTTCCTATTATGGGCATAGGTTTCTACAATGGCCACATCTTTTGTTTTCTTTGGATGTCTCTCGAATATCCATCACAATGAACTTGAGTGGATTTGGACGAAATGCCTCCCTTAATAAGGGCGGATCTGGTACAATCGGAAGTCAATTTAAACCTCATATGGGTCTTTCTCATTACATATGGGGGGAATCAAATTCATATCCCTTAAATACTTCTGAAAGTCGGTATACAGGATCCAAAAACGATTATAGTCTTGACGGCTATAAGAGCAAACTGCTATGAAATAGAGCATGGATACTCTAAAGCTTAAAAAACCCACAGTCACCACCTGTCTTGTAGATTAACTTTGAACGAGTTTAGTTTCAATCCCTTGAAGAGGTCATGGCATTTCTGTGACACGAAATAATTCATGGGACTGAGAGAAGCTTGTTACAGACATTCCATTTGATATATCAATTCTTTTTTGTAGATCTGCAACTAATCTTGGGTGATAAGTATGTCCATTTTGCATCCAAGTTAGAGCTTGTGCCCCGAGCTTTGCAAAAGTTCTCATATGTTATTTTAACCATAGTTGTTTCTAGTAAATGGTACACCCCCTTTATGGTTGAATTGATAGCCTCAACCAAGTTGGTCGTCATGTTTCCATATCGATATTCATCATCGTATGCCTTTGTCCACATTTGTTTTTTGATGACGCTGATGTAATTATACCCTTGCTCATTTTTTTCTCGCAAATCTTAAAGTATGGACTTAAACGTTTGAGGTAATAGTTCGTAACATATGTGTCAAATGTAGTACTTACTCTTAAGTTCCCATAAAAATGAAAATGATTGAGAAATGAAATATACATTATGACATACCATGCATACAAGTAATTGGCGCTCATCATTCTTCTTGAACTTTCCAATATAATTTGTAGCAATATGTTGGATATAGTACCGATGTTGGACATAGGGTGGTCTTAGATTAGACCTAAAGATTTTATTGCTGCTTTGATCCCAACTCTGTGATATAAAATAACACAGAGTTTTTCCCTCATGACAACATATAAAGTAAGTTTTTATGAAAAAAGCTCAAGAATCTATATATTCTCCTTTAAAATGGCAAAAGCAACTGGAAGAATGCTGCGATTACCATATTGGACAACTGCTAATAGCAAAACTTCTTATATTTTCCATACAAGAATGTCCCATCAA